AAAAAATAAATTTTAAGAGAAAAATATTCCCAGCATTGAAATCCCCCCCTCTTTACCCTAGGAGCAAGCATAGTCTTGAAAATAATGCTTGGATTGTCCCGATATCTAATTTCATGTTTCCTTCTTGATTGTCTTCATGCTGATTTGAAACTGGAACTCTGAACTGAACTGGAGGATCAGAACATTTTAATTATAGCCTAAAAGGATGTTAGTGCAACTGAATCATGAAGTGGGTGGGAAAGAAAGGGGATAAAGATAGTACATATTCTTCAAGCACATACTGCAGGTTTATAAACCCTTTGCTGCCTTAAAATTCGCAAAATTTTTCAAAGCCTTAGATATCCATTTGGCTGTTTGCCTAGCTTTTGTTAACCAATACCTAAGTGCTCTTTGAACTTTGGCTTGTTAGAAAAGGACATTAATGCTTAGAATAAACTTGCTTGAAATTGAGTATTTTGTCAAGGTGTTATTTTTCCCTTTTTCCTCTTGTGAATTAATTTGTGCTTTCCTTTAATGCAATGTTTGAACAAAATCTTCTGTGCTCCCACCTGGCTGTTCCTGCAGTGAAGTCATCTGGTTGGCCATGTGAATGATGTCATGATTGGCATCATTTATTAAGTTTATCTCACAGGTTCAAGGTGGCCAAATTAGAGGTGAGAGAAGAACATCCTAGGATGGATGTACCTACTAATTAACAAGAAGAGTTGAAGAACTTTTTATGGCCATGCATAACTTTCAGAAAATTTATTTCATGTCATTAGATGAAATAACACAAGTAAGGTGATCAGTTTAATAACCTTGCAGTAAACACTCAATAAATGTTGACTGTTATTATACTGGTTTGTTTTATGCCATGTCAGAATTTCTGTAATGAAAAGAGAATAGTGGAAACAACGACCATGCTGAGATTCAGATGCATTCAGCCAACAACTTAATCTCCATTGTAAATCTATTCAGTTTATTAGACATCCTGATATAAACGTTTAGTATTGCCCATAAAATCCCTGACATCTGAATGAAAGAAAATTATACGAAGAGTGTACTTTGGGTCACTCCATGGACCCTTCAAGATTTTGGGTGTGGAGAAAGATACCAGGAAGTCATAGGAACCAGTAGAAAGGAGGGGGAGAGCTAATAGAGAATTCATTTAAATTTGATGGTTTTGGGGAAGAAGATATATACACCTATATATAAGATCTGCTATCTTGTTAAACACTGCCATTATTAAAAGGGAAATTATCTGTGAAAATAATACTAGAGGTTGGTTTTAGGTAAATTTGTTTTATAGCTATTAAAAGGTCTTCTGTATGGGCAAGCTTGTTTCCGCAGAATGTGTTTGTTTGGGAAATAGGAATTAGGAAAATGAAAAAATGGGAATAGTTCCTATATTTAAATACTTTATCTTGCCTTGGAGTGAGTTATGGTTATATGATGAGGAGCTTTTCTTTCCTTGATAGAGGGTTTTGTTTTTGCTTTGTTTCTTTAGAGTGGAAAGATACGGTTTAGAAGTTCTTTTATAAAGGGAGATGATACGCACTTTTGGCAGTTGAGTGCAGTCTGTTTCTCACATTACTCTGTAATTGAGAGGCATGTTAATATCCTCATAAAAGACATTTTGCTGCCTCCTGTTTAAATGCTCAGCTGTTCTGGTGCCCGTTATTTCCCCCAGGCAGCCAGTGACTGACTAGAGTCAGCAGGTTTTTATGGCATTAACAGCAGTCTGCTCTTTTATTTTTAATGCAATTCTTAATCCCCTGCGCCCCCCCCCTTTTTTTTTGTAGGTTTCTGCATCTGAAAATAGCCCGGCAACCCGTTCCACCCCTGCTGAAGATGACTCCCGTAAGCATTTGTTCTTAGATCTGGAGGGTGAGGTCCTTCTTCTCTACCCATATTTGGTTCAGGGCTATTCCCATTGCTGTCAGTGCTGAGAAAGCAACATACTAAATCCACCCATTTAACTGATCAAATCCCTCACTTGTTTTTAAGAGCTGATGCTTGAATATCCTTTATACATTTCATGGCTTGGGGAGAAGTTAAATTCAATTAAATATGGTTAACTTGGGACAAACTGAATACTTTTGATGCTTCTCTCATTGAACTTATCCTACCTTTTGTACCCAGCCCTTTCAGGGTTAAAACTGTATAAACTAATTTTGAAGTTTCATTTTAATAGCAGTTTGGCTAAAAGGGACTTTATTCATTTATTAGGATAAAGAATAGGTATTTGAGTAACCTGTTAAAAATATCTTTTCCCGGCTGGGCGTGGTGGCTCATGCCTGTAATCCCAGCACTTTGGGAGGCTGAGATGGGAGGATTGCTTGAGGCCAGCAATTTGAGACCAGCCTGGGCCGGACCCTAGTGCTCAGCTCGGTAGCACACATACTAAAATTGGAATGATACAGAGAAGATTAGCATGGCCCCTGCACAAGGATGAAATACAAATTCATGAAGCGTTCCAAAAGAAAAAAAAAAAAAGAGACCCAGTCTCTACCAAAAAAAAAAAATCTTTTCCCTACTTACCTAAATGTGTTCTGTAGTTCCCCCCTTAGCCAGGTTCTAGAGATTTTCCTGCTGGTGCTGAATTTTTTCACCTCTTTATCCTATTTTGGAGTAATTTTTAGCCTCCCTTCTCCCAAAGAGAAAAATGTTTGGTTTTTACTTTACTATATCCACTTTTGATTCTGATTTTCAGTGTATCATTTACAAATAAAAGGCCAGGCATGGTGGCTCATGCCTGTAATCCCAGCACTTTGGGAGGCCAAGGTGGCAGGATTGCTTGAGGCCAGGAGTTTTTGAGACCAGCCTGGGCAACATAAGGAGACCTTCGTCTGTATAAAAAAATGTAAAAATCATCCGGGTGTACTGGTGCACACCTGTAGTCCCAGCTACTCAGGAGGCTGAGGCAAAGGGGATTGCTTAAGGCCATGAGTTCAAGGCTGAGTGAGCTATGATCATACCACTGTACTCCAGCCTGGATAGCAGAGCAAGACCCTGTCTCAAAAAAAATATGTGTGTGTGTGTGTGTATGGATTTCCAGCTTCTCCCCAGGCTAGTTTACTAGACACTAAAAACTCTACAAATAAATTAGAAGTATGAGTGAAACAGATCTCTAGTAAACCCTACCTTAAAATTTCAGAGAAAAACTCTTGCTGCTGGAATCCAGGAACATTCCTTTTTGCAATCATTTTTTTTGGACTAGAAATGTTTCTGAGTTTTGACTAGATTTGCAAAAAAATGTTTTGAAAAATAAGGCTTAGTCTTTTAGTATTTTGTTGACTCAACTGTAGATTCTAAGGAATTCTTTTGTGGTTCCTTAGTGGCTGGGTAAATGACTTTTCTCTGCCTCTTCTGAGTTCCATGGAATGAATACACTGGCAGGAAATTAACTCATGCAGTTGGCACTTTAATGATTATGAAAAAAACTTCATGGAGCCCTTTTACATAATCTTCTACAGGACTGACCGAAAAGACAGTGTCAGGTTACATATGCACACACGCATACGTGCACACGTGGTATGAAATTTCTGCCCTCGTGTTCTCCCATTTTCCCCACTTCAGTTGAAGCACCCCAGAAGTTATTAGGAGTACTAACCCCTGAAAAAACATCAACGCCCATAAGCAGCCTTTAAAAATGACAAATGGTACGAGGGGAAAAAGTTATTTTTGTAGCATGGTTTGGATTTTTGCTATGTGTGGCAAGGGGTGAGAAAGCCTCCTCACTAAGAACCTGATCTGTGAGAGGACCTGAGGAAACCTAAGGAGCATAGGCTTTAGTGTTGGAATCTTCCTCAACAGAAAAGCTGTGTTTTTCCTGGTGTTGAAAGGACCTACTGTTAGCAGAAAGTGCCCAGATTTTGCTTTTCGAAAGAACCCTTTCTGAGACTTCCCATGAGATACTATAAAATGTTGTCCTTTTGTGACTCACACAGGTAACTCCCAGGTTAAGAGTGAGGTCCCACGGCCTGTCCATCCCAAGCCGCTAAGTCCAGATGCCAGAGCCTCCAGCCTTTCTGAAAGTTCTCCTCCCAAAGCAGTGAAGGTATGATGGCAATTTGTCTCTGGGCAAATTGGACATTGATTTACTGGAAGATCTGGTTGCACTTTTTGTTATTATGTTGGTTATAACCTGTTTTTGCTTTCCTAGAGATGATAATGCGAAATAAGGGCACACTTAAGCCAATCACTTTCCCTGGAAATCTTGCTTCTTTTCTGCTCAGGTGTTTGGGCCAGCAGGGGGAAGCCTCACTAATGACTCTTGGTTTAAACTCTGGAAAACTTATGAAAGTTTTTTAAAAAAAACCTGAAGTTAAATAACATAATGTGATTTTTTTTTAAATGTTCAAATTCATAAATCTGTGAATGGGGGAAAGCCCACAAAATGAAAAATATGAGAAATCCGTTAAACTGAAGTCAGCACATTGGACGGAGATGTGCAATGTCACCTTAAAGATGGTGATTCTCTGCTCTGAGGAGCTTAACCATAACCCGATTGGTGGTTAACATTTTTAAAGGAAGAATGTGCCCAGTGGAATGGGGGTTTGGCCAGCCCATTTTTTTGTAAAAATTGGCATTCAAGCAACACTTATACTAGGGTATAATAAATATTAAGGAGTGTATAGATAGATGTTTCGTATGCTGAAATTTTACTAGGCTTCTCAATCTATGATCTGCTTTTATTCCCCAATTTAAAAAAAATCACCTCTTTTCCCCTTCTATGACCAAACATATATTCCCATAAAAATAAACCAAAAGAATGTTTTTTTAAAATTCCAAAGTTTATTTTGGGCTTGTTAACTGCCTTATTTTAATTGACTACTTTGCTAATGTAAAGCTACTTCACCTATTTGGATTAATAACCAAACATACCCACACTTCTCTAGTGTCTTTCTCCTCTGGTGTTCTCTTAAGTAGCTGGGTTGTGTTTCAAAAGTTTTAGCATTGGAGAGAAACTCGATAGGTAGAATTAGTTTTAAAGTGGTTTGTGCTGCTCCAACCTCATATGCATATCTGCCATGCTTATATCCCTTAACTGTGTGCATAATTGGTCCTTTGAAAGTTTTAGTGCACAAAAAGGATGAGAAGAAGACATAGAAAAGGGTTTAGAACAAAAAGGAAAGGGGAATCCAGGATTTAAAGGATGGATTAAAAAGGGGGGGGGAGCAGATGAAGAAGATAAACATGAAAGTTTTAAAGGAAGCAGAGATTTATGAAGAGAGTAGGGTTTATTGAAAAGGAACAAAAGGTGAAGAAAGTAGCAAGAGAAAGCAAGTCCGAGAAGAAAGAACGGCGTCATGGTGGTTGAATCTGCACATGTAGTCAGCATGACTTTGGTCTGGCCTTGACGATCTGCTAGTGCTGCCAGCAGCACTTTTTATTTTCCAGTATCTGGAGGCCCATGAAGTAGCAAAAGCCACGGGATTGCTTTCCTGTCCAGCAGCCATCCTGCCCAGATGTGAGTGCTTAGGTTGTGGGTCTGGATCAAGAACGGCTAGCAGATCTGACTTGGTCATGATTTCTGTGTGACCAAGGATCTGGAGAAGTTTCCAGGCTAATCTAAGAACTCAAATTTTTTCTTAGGACTATTTGAATTCTCAAGAATGTTTGAATTCTCAATGCAGTCTTGCTTTCCTCTCTCAGCTGCTAGGCCAAACCTCCTCGTACTGGGTTGGGATCCCACCTGGTTCAGACTCCAGGGTCTGGGCCGATGAGTGGTGTGTGAAGGCGCAGGCCTCACTTAGGTCTTCCTTGGCACCAGGGAGAAGAGACGGAAGTAAAGCCCCCTCTGTACCTGCCTCAGACCCATGCCTGCTCCTTTAGGCCTGGTCATGCAGCAGTAGAAAGCAGACAGCCCTGCCATCACAGACGTGCAGCTCAGGTTTTGAGCATTATTTAAAGACTGGAGTAAATGGGCCTGGGTAAATTGGACTGGAGTAAATTCCCCATGTTTGCCTGTGGTCCAGCGTTCAAATGGTCACGATGTACTGGGGGACCCAGTTACATCTCCACTTTTACTTAAAGGCAATTCGTTTGTTCTCCAAGTTCCCCTTTACAGTCTGCAGGTGACTACATAGATACTTTAGTAGATGTTTATAGGAAGACCTGATGGCATAACCGGTCTCACGGCTATAGACTGTGCCACAGAAGTTGTTTCTCCACTTTGCGAAATTACGTACAGCTAAGAATAAACTTGTTCACTTAGAATAGATTTTTTAGATCCCACACATCCTGGAAAAAACTGTTCCCTAGTGCCTGTATGTCTGTTATTGAAAATAGGACATCTAAGGTAGAGACTCAATTCATTTCAAATTTTAGCTTAATCAAGTAAAAAAATGAAAAAGGTGTTTAAAATAAGGATCTTGTATGCTTTGGACACTGACACAGAGCTCAGTTGCTGAGACTTGGTGCTAATGAAGTTAAAGTTGTAGGTTCATTCTCAAAAAGGATGTTCTGAGAGCAGAGCTCAGTGGACCCTGTGAGAAGGATCAGACCCTTTCTACTACTTCAAGAGACTGAGGTGTTTTTTTTGGGGGGGGGGGTTTAGAGACAGGGTCTCTGTTGCCTAGGCTGGAAGGTAGTGGCACAAGGCACAATCATGGCTCACTGTAGCCTCAAACCCCTGGACTTAAGTGATCCTCCTGCCTCAGCCTCCCAAGTAGATAGGACTACAGAATTGCCACCGTGCCTGGCAATTCTGAGGTTTTTGATTGCCAGCTATACCTCAGTAAAGTTGGAAAGGAGGTGGGGAGGAAGAGAGAGACTCAAAGATCTCTTAAGCTTTATGCCCTCCCATTTGAAAGAAGTCATTCCCTAAATGTTCCCAGAGGAGAGGATAGGGGAGGAAAAGGCAAGGAGATGGCCATAGGAGACACCTGCTTATCCCCGCTATGTCCAGGACAGCCCAATTCCAGGCTTCCTTGGCTGGTCCTTCTGATGGATGTTAGGAGAAAACATGGCAGACTGCATTAGAGGGCACATATTACAATGTCCCTCTTGGTGCCCACTGGCTATCCCTTCCCCTGTGGACAGGGTAGTAAGTTTTATGCTGTTTTGCAAAGCTATCAGAATTATCCTAGAGAGCATCTAGAATTTTTTTCTAACTTACCTACTTGTTACTGCTTCCTCAGAGCACTAACCTTTCTTCTACGTGTAGAGCAGTCTATTTAACATATCAATATTCCCCCAAATGCTTTTACAAAGAGTTTCACAGTAAGACAGGGGAAGAGTTAAAGCTGCAGAGAGCTGGCCCAACCATTTACTGTGTGGTAAAGAATTTCAGTTTTATTACGTAGATATTTTGCACAAATTGGAAGGAGGGAATGACAGGCTTTTGTATTGTTCTATCTGAGGAATGGAGGCCTCACATCAATATAGAATTTTTTTCCGATTTCACTATGTCTAAAAGCTAGTTAACTTCACTGCCTATCGCCAGCTGCTGCTTCCCCCACCCCCACACACATATATATCTCAATTGGGGCCTTTATTAGACTAAAAAATATATGTAAGACAAGAGGGTGCAAGAATGCAGATGAAGCCATGCACATTTATTGGGAAAATAAGTAGATGCTCATCAACAGAGGGTCTATAATATCCCTCATATGGGAAAGATAGTGTTTATGAACATCAATTATTTACATATTATCTCATTCATTCCAGAATATCCTGAAGACATTATCTACATATTTTAATTTGAAACAAAGTGAAGACTAGTTTGTTCAAAGTGCTATAGTGAGATTATTTTCATTTGGGTTAGCATCTGCTCTCTTCCCCTGGAGTTTCTTTTAGTTATGGAAGTTTAACATTCCAGGACAATTTAGAAGATGCTCTATTGGTTTGTGAGTCAGGAGTTCTGAGCTTGTTCCGCAGTGAGCAGGTATATGTAAATCTACCCTCAAAAGGCCAAGGGAGCTGAGAGGCCAAAGAAAGAGGCTGACAAATCCAGTTTGTCAGAAAGAAACATTGAATGGGGACTTATGAACAGAAGCCATGTCTGGGAAGCTGTGAGACAGTGGATCCCTGCACCCTCCAGAAAATATCCTTTATATAGCAAGCTTTTTTGGTAAAACATGTGCAGCTGGTCACATCTCAGACTTTCTTGTGTAACTCATGACCACTTGGGAGGTTAGATAAACATCTTTATGAGGGTTATCTTTGCTACAGGCATTGCTTCTTTATGAGGGGTTAGAGGGTTATCTATGCTACAGGCATTGTTTAAAGACCTTGCTGCGGAACACCTTGGTATGCAGGAATCAAACATATCATGGGGGTTTCACTTCAAGACGGCATCACTCTTGCCATGCAACAGGCTGTTTTCCTACAGAGTTTTAATTCTAATTCTGTAACTGTGTGAACTTTGATAAGGCACCTGGGATCCTGGTGCTTTACCTTTTACATGGTGGGGGCCAAAATGGTGGGGGAAGGGGAATGAAAAAAAAAGTCTTCTCTTACTAACTGAAAAAAATACATTGTTGAGATAAAAAATGTCTAACGTTCTCATATTAGCAGTGTTCATAATGTGGCTGTGCCAAGTCTGAGCATGCCATGAAGGCATGGGCAGGATGTATGCCAGGCCTGTGATAATGGTAGAGATTTTTGGGCACTGACTATGCTTCCTGTTGTCTGAATAGACATGGGGGCAATTACAGAAAAGTGGCTGAGAGCCCAGGACAGGAGAAATGAAGGGAAGGCACAGCCGCAGCCGCTGTGACTTGCATATTGCCATGTTAGGATCCCCTTGTGTCTATGAAACCATAAGGGCCGTTGGGCAGCTGCTGCATAAACCTTAAATAATATCAAAAAGTGTTTGTGTGAGAAACGAGTAGGAATAATGGGCCTCTGATAGGTCTGGCTTTGGGTGAGTCAGTTGTTTGAGCTAGCAGTCGATTAATTTGACGTTAAGGAAGAGGAAAGGTGACGGCTCCATGAAAGAGAAAGCCACTGTGGGTCAGGTGTGGGGAGGGAGTGAGACACCAAAGAATTGCTAAAGAGACACTCCTTGTGTGCATGAGGGCTCGTAAAAGCTCTCTCACCTGAGCCGGATGTGCTCCAGCCTCAGGTGGATAGGAGCGAGGCTGATTTTGCCAAGAGCAGCAGAGTTTCTCGAAAATGAAAGAAAATGTGGTCTTATTCTGGGCTCTGAGTCTCCAAGTTTCAGCTCAGCTGCAGTAAAGCACTCCAGGGCATGCCAAATGCTGTGTATTCACTGAAGGTTCCTGTTTGTCTCTTCCAGCTTCTGCTTCCTGCTCCCGGTACCTAATTTCTGCTCCTGCCTTCCACTTTCCTCCTAATGTGAGCTCAACTTTCAGCTTTCTCTCAGGTTCTCCTTTCCTTCCCTCCCCTCTGCTGCACCCTTCTCCTACAGTGTGTCCTTTCCCTCGGTGTGTCTGTGAAGGAGGTGTGCTCCTATCCCTCCGCGCCCCTTCAGCAGAGTAGGATCCTCCCCTCCTACCCTGTGTGAAGTTTCTGTCTCCTGCTGCGTCTTTCCTGACCACAATGAGTATTTAGTCTCCTAAATCTATTTCAAGTGTTAAAGATATAGAAACCCCTCTCTGCAACTGAAAAAGATTTTCGATCTGATAAACACATTTGTCCTATTCCTTTTACATTATGTGAATTGTGATTGGCACAGGTTCTGACCAATGGCTTCACTTGTACTATTACACCCGGATTTTATTCTGCATTTTAATGTATCTCCTGCTTGCTAGGCAAAGACCCCATCCTTTTAGAGAAAATCTAATTAAAACCATTCAAAGACATCTCCATTTAGGTCATGTTAGAATGTCTATATAAGAAGAAAAGAATTCTGAGCTCCAAATACTGTCATGCCTTAATTACTTACAATGGCATTCAATAAAATAACCTTTGGTCACGTTTAATACCATCCTTATGCTTGGTAAACCAGGTTGTAGCCTGCATTTTTTGGTTGGTTGGTTGGTTTGTTTTGTTTTGTTTTTAGGACTCTACCTTTAGAATGAAGTGGGATGCTGTTAATTTGCCATTTCCTCTCAGTTTTGCTCCTTCAGTCTTAAATCCTTTGGGTGCTATTTGAAGTTTACCACTAATTTCTTTTCTTTTCTTTCTTTTTTTTTTTTTTTTTTGAGACAGGGTCTTGCTCTTTTGTTGCCCAGGCTGGAGTGCAGTGGCATGATCATAGCTCACTGCAGCCTCAAACACCTGGGCTCAAGCGATCCTCCTGCCTCAGCCTTCCAAGTAGCTGGGACTACAGACGTTGTGCCACTACACCCAGCTGATTTTTTTATTTTTTGTACAGACAGAGTCTCGCTACATTGTCCAGGCTTCACTAATTTTATTAAACTCCCTTTTACAGATTTTTCCCTTTACTTCCATTTTCTGCTCTCATTTCCTGCCCAAATCTAGTTGGAAAGCCATTCCTATTCTTTGCTTTACTTCCTAGGAATCATGTGGCAAGTGAACCAGCAGACTGAACTTTTTATGGGACTATTTTTGAGTTTTTAAATCAAAATTCTATCTTGCTCATAACCTGGTTCATTGTAGGTTTAACTTAACCATTCAGGCCCTGGGCCTTGGGGTTAATTTGTATTACTTCTCATCATATGTTTTCTGGTGAGAGCCCAAACGGGTCTTGGCAGCAAAGAGGGCCACCTAGTTGCCAATGAGAGCTTCCTGGCTACCTAAGCTGCTTCCTGCATCTACAGGTTGAGGTATTTGTTGAGGTGTTGGGGCAAGTCAAGGGTTACTCACACATGCCTGCAGACTTCTTACTCCCACCCCTTAGAGCCATGCGACTATTTCTTATCATGTAAATGCATATAATATTTTTGGAATTCTGGCTTTTATCTGTGCTAGAATACCAATTTTATATTCTTTAGGATTGAATTTACCAGGTAGAACCAATGTGCCCACCCTTATTCCACACTTAACAATCCATGAATTCCTAGACATGAATGCATTAAGAAATGCATTTCTCCATTGCATTAGTTTTATTCTCCATTGGTTTTTGGAAATGTTATGGAACCTATAGCTTTATTGGGCTATGCTTCCTTCTGGTGTCCTAGTAAAATAGTTTGTGTCTCATAAACTGTTCCATTTGTGTGTCAGTTTTGACTCGTTTTAAAATACTGGCTGGGTGTGGTGGTTCATCTCTGTAATCCTAGCACTCAAGGAGGCCGAGGCAGGAGGATCACTTGAGGTCAGGAGTTCGAGACCAGCCTGAGCAAGAGTGAGACCCTGTCTCTACTGAAAATAGAAAGAAATTGGCTGGGCAACTAAAATAGAAAAAATTAGCTGGGCATGGTGGCGCACACCTGTAATCCCAGCTACTCAGGAGGCTGAGACAGGAGGATGGCTTGAGCCCAGAAGTTTGAGGCTGTAGTGAGCTATAATGATGCCACTCTAGCTCAGGCAACAGAGCAAGACTCTGTCTCAAAATAGATAAATAAAAATAAATTTATTACACCTAGTTGATTGAGCAAGTCAAGATTATAAGCAGAGGAGAATAAAAGATGCTTTACCAAATGTCTTTTTCTCATTTCCAAAGCCAAATACACTTCCTCTCCTAGAAATTTATCTCCTTCAGAATCTGTTTTTATAATAGTCTGTCCTGCTTTTTCTTGGCATTTGACTCAATCATCTTTCCTCTGTATGTAACGACATTTTCTCTTAATTCCTTCCCCCTACTCCCTGTCCCCTACTCCTAATATTTCGTGTGTATAGTGGCTTATCTAAGCCTTTCTCTGCAATCCAGCCCTAGCTCCAGCTGTCCTCAGAGGCTGCTACACTTGGGGCAGCCAGACAATTTGGGAAAGGAATTCAGAAGAGCCTCTTGTTTTTCAAGAGTCAACTGATAGAATTGTAGCAGGTTTAGTGTTCCTATGAGAATTGACTGACTAGTTAAGGGAGCCCTTAGATAAAGTACATCCTAGGGCCCATCTCAACAGAGTACTAACTTATCACTGCTTATGCTCGTTAAAGTTATTCTTTTCCTTTTCCCAGAAGTTTCAGGTACCTGCAAGAGAGACCTGTGTGGAATGTCAGAAGACAGTCTACCCGATGGAGCGTCTCTTGGCCAACCAGCAGGTGTTTCACATCAGCTGCTTTCGTTGCTCCTATTGCAACAGTAAACTTAGGTATGCCAGACCGAAACAAGCCCTCTCTCTGTATGGTTGGAGGTTCGGAGCGAGTCTTTGGCTTTTAGAGCACTGGTATCAAAAGCTAGTGTGCTAATGGTGTTCTGTTGAAGGCTCTTGAATAAAATTAAAAGCACCATTTAGTGACAAGTCTTTCATATCAAATAATAATGGTGTTTGAAACTTCTTGGTACATTGATATGTTAATTTATGTGTTAGGACTGAAGCTTAAATAATATGTATTGCAGGTAAAACTCCCCCTGTGGACCTAATTTAGTAGAATGTTTTCCCTTGGTGTCATAGAATGATAAAGTTAAGGTTACTTGCCTAAGCCCTTACTTCAAAATGTCCTAAGCTCTGAATAAATGGTAATAATAGTAGTAATGATAGCCCCCAAAGAGCATGTTGTTTTCTCTATGTTGCCTCATTTTATGTGCTTCTGAGAAAATAATTATGTATCATTTCTTCCAGGTAACTCAAAATATGGATGTAGGTGTGACAAATTGGGGAAATATTCCATATTAACTTTTTTTTTTTTTTTTTTTGAGATAGGGTCTTTCTCTGTCACCCAGGCTGGAGTGCAATGGCACGATCATAGCTCACTGCAGCCTCAAACTCCTAGGCTCAAGCGATCCTCCTGTCTCAGCCTCCCAAGTAGCTGGGACTACAGGCATGTGCCACCATGCCCAGCTAATTTTTAAATTTTCTTTCTAGAGACTGGGTCTTGCTATGTTTCCCAGGCTAGTCTTAAACTCCTGGCCTCAAGTAATCCTCCTGCTGTGGCCTCCCAAAGTGCTGGGATTATAGGTATGAACCACCGTGACTGGCCTATTAACTCATCTTATTCAGGGTCTTAGAGAAGGAAGTAACCAAGATGTCACTTTCTCTAGCTTTCCTTCCAGAGCAAGCATCCCTTCTAAAATACTCTTGAGGACATCCTGGCATCTGTGTGACACTTCTAGCAGGGGGGTAGTACCTCACTACAGCTAGTTCTAGTGTTAGATAGCTCTAGCTAGACAACTTTTCCTTATATTGAGCCAAAATTTCTCCTGTAACTGTCACTCGTTAGTTCTTTTCCTGCCCATTATGTTAATTTTTCCTCTAAAGCACATTTCTTTTTTGGAGATGGTATCATTTTATACCCTCTTTAAAATGTGTTACCCTCTGAGAGACACTGTATCTCCTAAAGTCTTGTCCAGCACTAACGTTAGGGAAGACCTACATCCTGGTCACTCCTTGCTGCTCTCCTATTAACCATAACTTACTTTTATTCAGTCAGTAGTCGCTATTGAGTGTCAACCATTTGCAGAGCATTATACCTATTCTTGTAGAGTTACGCTTTTAAATCATAACACAAATGGGAACCTAGGAGGAAAAGATTCAGCTTTACAAAGGAATATTATTATAAGTAGTTACAGGTTATAAATACTGAGGGAAAGGTATGAGTGATCAGAGCTAGGTAGTATCATCTAGGGAAGACTTCCTAGAAAAAGTAATTTGTTAACAGTTTTAACAGAGGAATGTGAACCTTAAATAATGAGATTCAGAAAATATGATTAAGCCCTTTTGTGCCCGCCCTTTGGCTCTCCCTTTGCTGCGAAAGTGGGTTTGGTCATCATCTGTGGCATATGTATCATGCTCTGTAAACCTATATCTTGCTCTTGTCCTATAATCCTATCTTTCCTCAATAAATCTCATTTTTGAGCTTGAAAAAAAATATTAAGTATAGAGTTTGAGTACAAAACTTGAGACTGGCCATGTGGAAACACCGATTCCAAACGAATGGGGTCAGTGTTTCAAAGTGGAGAAGTTAAGGTTTCACTTATATAGAAATTTTAGCAGGATTACAACCTTTTCCATACAAGACTAGAGCATATGCCGCAGCAATCTGATTGGATACAGATTGCTACATTCCAAGGAAGATTACTTTATTACTCCATGAGGAGGAGTAGTGATCTGAGGGGGTCTTATCTCTGGTGCCATTTGGTCTTAATTATTTATAGGAAAAAAAAGTTGCAGCTACATGCTGTGTGACTCAGGTTGCATAGCCACATTCCTCTCAAGGCTCAGAATAAAGTTCCAACCACTTTAAATTATTTAATTTCACAGGAGAGGAAATCATTTGAAAATGGAGAGCACATTCCAGGTGGAAGAATGACTTGTGAAGGTCTTGAAGTGAGCATGTTTTGTGTAAGAATAAGTAAACTAATGTACTTAAAGGTGGATAGGGAATCCTAGGTCACTGAGGTGCTTTTAAAGATATTTTTCTCATTTAGCATCTTCTGAAAATACTGGCATTGCCAGATTTTAGCCTGCTGGTGTAAATGAGAATAGGAAGATTTGCTAACTTTATGCTCTTTTTCTTTTAATGACAGTCTAGGAACATATGCATCTCTACATGGGAGAATCTATTGTAAGCCTCACTTCAATCAACTCTTTAAATCTAAAGGCAACTATGATGAAGGCTTTGGGCACAGACCACACAAGGATCTGTGGGCAAGCAAAAGTGAAAACGAAGAGACTATGGAGAGACCAGCCCAGTTTCCAAATGCAAGGGAGACCCCTCAGAACCCAGGGGTAGAAGATGCCCCCATTGCCAAGGTGGGTGTGCTGGCTGCAAGTATGGAAGCCAAGGCCTCCTCTCAGCAGGAGAAAGAAGACAAGCCAGCTGAAACCAAGAAGCTGAGGATTGCCTGGCCTCCCCCAACTGAACTTGGCAGTTCAGGAAGCACCTTGGAGGAAGGGATCAAAGTATCGAGGCCCAAATGGCCTCCTGAGGATGAAATGAGCAAGCCTGAAACTCCTGAGGATGTAGATCTGGATCTGAAGAAGCTAAGACGATCTTCCTCTCTGAAGGAAAGAAGCCGCCCATTCACTGTAGCAGCTTCATTTCGAGCCACTTCTGTCAAGAGCCCAAAAACTTTGTCCCCACCTATGAGGAAAGGCTGGAGCATGTCAGAGCAGAGGGAGGAGTTTGCAGGAGGAATAGTAGCAGAGAGGAAACAAGTGGAAAATGCCAAGGCCTCCAAGAAGAATGGGAATGGGGAAAAAACAACCTGGCAAAACAAGGAATCTAAAGGAGGAGAGGGAGGGAGAAGTCAGGAGGTTCAAAGCTTTGAGATGGGGAATGAGAACCTTGTAGAAAATGGTGCAAACTTAGATGAGAATGATAGCAACTTCCTCAAACAGCAGTCTCCACTAGAACCCAAGTCTCCAAATTGGTCCAGCTTTGTAGATGACACTTCTGCTAAAGAATTCACTACTCAGAATCAGAAATCCCAGGATGTGGGATTCTGGGAGGAAGAAGTGGTCAAAGAGCTCTCTGTGGAAGAACAGATAAAGAGAAATCGGTACTACGATGAAGATGAGGATGAAGAATGATAAATTACAATGGTGCTCGGCCTTAAATTCATGTTAGTGTTAGTGAGCCACTGCCCTTTATTCAAGTGTGATGCTCATAAACAGGTATTTCAGCATGAAATGTAATTTATGTGGAAGTAACTTTGGAAAAGAGTTCCTGCTTTGAAAACTCCCCCATACTGCAGCTTAAGATAACCAATCTAAATGCTAGAGATAATGTTACTTAAATATTCCATTTTAGCAGTGAATGATAGGCATAAGTGCTTTAAGGTCTTAGAAGTGGGGAAATATTCCAACTGATATAGTCCAGATTCCAGTGTATTCCCAAAAGGCAATATTAAAGTGGATAGATGATTAGTAGTATATTGTTACACTACATATACTGAATTAGAGAACATACAAGGGATTTAGGGGCCTAAATATTATGACTAAATGCACTTTAGTATAAAGGGCACAGTTTGTATATTTTTACATGAATATCAATTTTTTTAGTGTTCATCTGTTAAGAGATCAAATATTTAGCCTTTTTAAAAAATTTTTTAGGTTATGTAGCAACAAGAATGCTCAGAAAAAAGATTTTTTTAGGATAATTTTCTTACTCCGATATATACATATGGGGAATGTATTGCTTTGCATCCTGTTCTGTAAACCACATCCTGAACTGAATTATTGAGGTGTGGTACAGCCATCTTTTCAGAGCACATTTTGAGGCAATTGAAGAACCAACCCACATGCTTTGGTGCTTGGAGAGATCCACCGTCTCCCCTATAAGCCATGGTATTTGCCAGTGAGTTTGACTATACCCCAAGTGATTGCTTTCTTTTCTGGTGGGATATTGCTTCTCACAACTCACCGAAAGCTGCAGTGTTTGTAAGACCTCTGGGATCACCATTCCCCATGCTCCATGCTAGAGCACAGTGAGGAGTTTAAAGGAGGAATAACAGGAAGAACCGCCTTACACCTCTTGAGCTCAGACCCCTGAACCCTGGATTCCACTTCTGATGTCCCCTTTCTGAGGATATTTTCATTGTATACTTACCAGCTCTGAAATATATTGATTTTTATGGCAGGCAGTATTCCCAGGGTGAAATTAAACCAACTATAGGCCTTTTTCTTGGGATGATTTTCTAGTATTAAGGCTTTGGAACATTATAAATTTGAGCACATTTGTACATAATCAATATTCCAAATTGTATGTATGGGAGGGAGAGGTGTTTTAAGCTATAGGCTTTTCTTTGTACTGCATTTATAGAGATTTAGCTCTAATATATTTTAGAGATGTAAAATATTCTGCTTTCTTATAGTCTTGCTTAGTCTGAAACATTTTTATTCAATAAAGCTTTTAATTAAAATTTGACCTTTTCAATGTTCCTTTTCCATTATTTCTTTACGTTATTATAATCTCCTGGAGTCCACTTTTACTTTAGCAGTTTGGGAAGAAAAGACAAATGGGACTACTGTAATATTTTTTAGGAAGAGAAGTGCTATCAATAAATCTTACCACTAGGTGGTGGTGTTGAGCTAATCTTGAATTTTCATCCTGCCAGGAGACACATTTTTCTCGAAAATTGCAAGCACCTTGGCAAGAGAATTAAAGTGTGTATTCAAAATGAGCTACTTGTTTTACCAATTCAAAATCCAGCGGTGGTTTTTATTTATTGTACTAAACATTTAATAATTCACCTCACAGTTATGCCTAACGTGCTATATGGAATTTCCCAATACCTCTTCTGAAAATGGACTTGTTTTCCACTCTGGGCAGATGTATTTTTGATTGTTTGATTCTCTTGCCAGTAGAGGCAACTGCCCCAATTGTTAAGGGTTTTTTGTTTGTTTGTTTTTGTTTTTACAGTAGGGTGGAAATGTGGATTTCCTTGGAGAGATAAGTGTGCTTTTTGAGTCATCTGTTACATTTTTCAGGGTTCCTGTGTGTTCCAGGGTCTTGCCTGGTCTTCTGACTTGATGGCGGATACTACTTTCTGCTCTTGCCCCCACCTCAGGCTGAAGTCATTTAGAAATCCCTTCCTCTTGCCTGTTGGACAAAGAAAAAAAAATTAAAAAGAAGTCCCTGTTAACTGAACAATTAACCCAAAAACTCCTACTGACATTCATAAAATATCCAGTCCTGGCTTGAATTTATGTGACATGCTTTTTGCTACTCTAACCTGTACATGGTACTATGTACATGGTACTGACTTTATACAACAAAAGTCTGAGTGTCTATGGATATAAGTTGAGTATGTCACCATATATCAGGTTCTTGGGGACTGAGATTACTCTTACTATGCCTTTCAAGGGCTGAAATAGACATACGTACAGAGAGTAGGAGCAAGTAGTAACTCCAGATTCAATATAATGAAAGGATGTCCTTGTCAAGAAAATGACCAGAAAATACTAAACATTTTTTTGGAAAACAAACAAAAAAACCCCAAGCCAAACAAAAAGTGTTAATCGTTTGTTCTTTAAGCTCTTTAAATGAAGATAACTTTGTTTGGATTTGGTATGTCAGTGGTGGCAATAGGATGACGTGAATTTTTCTGTTGGTGAAGCAGAAAAAGGGGCCAGCGTGGGACTTGAGATGATGAAAGAGACTGTTCATGACTGCTACAAGGCCAACTTGGTTCCAGCAGCATGCCCGTCAGATCACTCCTGGCCAAAGTGAAAGCTGTACAAAGTTTGCTTTAATTATGTATTTTATTAGCAATATGTTTTCTAACAGCCAAGAGGTTGACAATTGTAGGTACAAGTGTGTTTTTCTGGGGATAGAATTGTAAATAGAGTCTCAGAACAAGATCGTGCACATGTCAAGTTAGCATGTTCTCTGTTCCTTGGGGGCTCTGACTTAAATTCCATGGGACCCAGAGGTAGGGGGAGTTTACTTCCTTTTAAAATATATCTTGAATATAGTATAGTTATACCGTGAAGATATTGCTGGGTTTGGATGAAAATGGCTTCAGGCCATGGTTCTCAGAACAGCAGCAGTGGCATCACCTATAAATTTGTTAGAAATGTAAATTCATGGGCCCTACCCCCAAACTCTGGAAAGCAGAATCTCTCTGGATGGGGTCCAGAAAACATAAACTCTCTACGTGGGAGATGGGACAAGCTAATGTCTGAGCTGATGCACACTGAAGTTTTAAGAAGCACTGAGCTAAAGCAAACCTTTTAATTTACTCTTTGGGATAGCTTTCTGGTTTTTTTTTTTTTTTTGAGACAGTCTCACTCTGTCACCTGGGCTAGAGTGCCCTGGGCTAGAGTGCCGTGGCATCAGCCTAGCTCACAGCAACCTCAAACTCCTGAGCTCAAGCGATTCTCCTGCCTCAGCCTCCTGAGTAGCTGGGACTACAGGTGCATGCCACCACACCCAGCTAATTTTTCTATTTTTAGTAGAGACGGGGTCTCGCTCTTGCTCAGGCTGGTCTCCAACTCCTGAGATCAAGCGATCTTCCCGCCTTGGCCTCTCAGAGTGCTAGGATACAGGCATGAGCCGCTGACCCGGCCACTACTGTTTTTTTCTCTCCTCCTTCCTTTGAAACCCTTTAATTCTGGCATAAGCAGGCCTTATTAGTTATTCAGTTACTTTATCTGTCCTCAGATAAGAGGTAAAGATTTACTTATTTTAATCTTTTTTTTTAAGATCATTCTAGTTAGCCTCTAGTAATTAACCTTGTAGCCAGGTTTTAACAGCACATAGGTTTCAGGGTTCTTGGGAAGCTGGGGGACAATTTAGCCTTTTGAAGGTGCCTTGTCTATGGCTCCCCTCCCTGTTTATGAAGATCAACAAAAGAGTTCAATGTTCAGTTTGATAACCTAAAATTAAGGTGGTTTATAGGATAAAGGGCTCAGAGTTCTGGAGTCTAAAGACTTTCTGGCTACCACTTCTTATATATAATCTTGGGCAAGCTATTCGACCTCTGGACTTCAGTTTATTTATCCATAAAATAGTGGGGACGACAATATCTACTTCATAGGGAAGGAGGGAAATAATCTGTGTAAAAGTTTCGGTGCAGTATCTGGCATGTAAGGAAACCTCCTTAAACACTGGCCATCATTTCTTTTTCTTTTGCCTTTACGTGTATTCTCCTTTGTGTGTTTCCCTTTTCACGTTGCTTCTCTTCCATTTCCTTTTCCCCATGAGAAAAATAAAAGGACTTTTGTAAGTCCATTTTTCTTAGGAAAAGTGACTATAATTTTTAAGGAATGAAGCAGTGAAAGGGAGTTGAGATCATGGAGGGGCCCAAAGGGAGGAAAAGATTGGAAGCAAAAAGAATGCTGGTGGTGGAAAGCACTAGGCGGGGCCAGTGAGGTGGCAAGATAAACCCCAGCCTGAGAGAGGCTGGGAGTGGAGACGACACAGGTACGGCCTGGCTGGGAGCGGGAACGGATTTGATTCGGCCGGGCTGAGAAAGAGGAGCGTCCCCATAAGGCAGCTAGCCCGGAAACAAGGGGCGTAGTCATGGCTGGATGGCCAAATGAGGGAGGAGGAAAAGCTGAAAAATGGGCGGGGCAAGATTTGAGGGGCCTGTGGTGGGTGGGACCAGGGCTGCACGGGGGCGGGGCGTGGCGGGGTGAGGCGGGGCTCCTGGGCCTGGCTGGGGCCAAGTCAGAGACTCGGGAAGGGGCGTGGCCAGGCTGGGAAGACTGGGTCCCAGGAAGGCGGTCCGGGAGGCTGCGGTGAGGGAGGTGGGCGGGGAGGAGATATGGGCGGTGAATCCGTGCCGGGACAAAAAGGGGCCGGAAGAGGGTGGCCGCCGGCCCAGCCCCGCCCCAGGGCTTCCTCCCCGTGGGTTCCGTTGGCTGTGGCGGCTACTGAGGCTGTGGCGGCGGTGGCTGTGGGGCGGGCGTAAGATGGCGACAGCGGCGGCAGGACCCCTAGGCCTGCTGTGGGGCTGGCTGTGGAGCGAGCGCTTCTGGCTGCCTCAGAACGTGAGCTGGGCTGACCTAGAGGGGCCGGGCGATGGCTACGGCTACCCACGCGCCCAACACATCTTCTCGGTGTTCCCGGTGGCGGCGGGCATCTTCTCCGTGAGGCTGCTCTTCGAGCGGTGAGAGCCCGCGAGCGAGAGGCGCGGAGGGCTGGGTGCCGGCATTGGGCGCAGCGCTACGGGAGAGGCCGAGGGCCGGAAGCAGAACTGAAGGGAGAGCCCGGAAGCTGGGCTGGGGAAGCCTGGGCCGTGGCGAGTGATGCTCGCAGCGTGGCCGAGGTGGTCGTGAAACCTAGGTGGAGACAGGGAGTGTCTCCCTGGGGCGTGGGCAAGTGAAAGGGTGAGGATCGAGGGGAACGCTGGACCCCTTCAACGTCAGACCCCTGAGGTCGCTTGGGGTCTTATACGCCTCCTCCCAACTTCCAAGGGTCCTACAGACGAGGAACCAGGTTGAGTGTGAGCTCTGGCAGAGACCCCGAGGCGAGGGACAGGAAGGGGCCAGGAGAACCAGAAATAGTTGAGGCCATGGAAACTGAGAGGTCAACGCAGGAGCCAAACGTTCCAAGCAAAAGGAGTGGGTTCATCAGAATCCAAGATTTGTGAGGACACTTTAGTTTTTAGAGTTGAGGGGAACAGGATTAGTTAGGCCCTAAGCCTTTTGATTTGTCAACTCGTGGACGTTTGTTTGTTTGTGGTCAGTATATACTTAATGATTGAGAAGGGTCCACCCTCATCTATTCAGATGCCCTGAGGAGTAACCCAGAATCTAGATCTTTAATCTGAAATAGATATAATTTGTTTCTGTATTCTGGTTGGAATAGGGTGTGCTGGAGCCTGAGGCTTCCAAAATATGGAAAGATGTCAGATTAGCTGCAGAACAGGCCTTAGGGCTTGAGATGGAAGGAGGAGTGGTCATCTTGAAGGAATGGAGAGCCGTAGGGCTTATTAGAGGACAGGTGTATTGAGCCAGCTTCTAAGTGAGTTTAGCAGAATTGCAACATACTTTGCCTAACCATGTGCTCTTGGTAAAAGTGATTTCACTTTTCTTTGGGTGGATAGTATCTGCTGTCTAAGATAAAGATATTCACTGGAGATTTGATATGGTGATTTTGTAATGTGGACTTATATCTGTAGGTGATTTTGATCAAGTCCACTCAGACCAGGAAAGGAGACTTCTTTCTGCACAGGTTTCAGGTAATGAGGGTGGCATGTGAATATCTTCTGTTCATTTTGCCTTTATCCAGAGCATAAATGATTGTAATGCAGGAATATCTTTCTAGGATGGGAATATGTTATGGATAAAATAATCTGT